ACGCATGGTTGCCACATGTGGTACTTTAATACCAAAATTGGTACTTTTTTTCCTTATGGTACTTTGGTACTCATTTTTAGAAAATGGTACTTTTTTGAAGCGCGAACTTTATTGTACATTTTATTATATTATCCAATTAAATTTATTAATATATACAACTGTGCACTACCAAACTAATGGATTTTAAGACCTTAAATAATATTATATTATGTAAATAACTATTTGATAAAAAAAAATATGCACTATGTATGGTCAGCATAAGATAGTCCAATTCTTTAAATAATAAAATTGTCATGGATTAAAATACTTGTACCGTGCTATATCTTTTATACATTTTATATATATTGCATTTTCTTATTAAAAGACAATAAAAAAAATTGGATCTTTTTTTACAGAAATGGTACCTTTTTTAAGCAATTTTGCTACAGAAAAAAACAATTTGATTTTGATTTTGAGAAAGAACATTTTGATCAGTTAAAAAAGTTCGAAGATGAAGTATTATTAAAGGAAATCTCAGCTCAAAATGAAAAAGAACTTGCAGAACTGTTTTATGTCATTTAAGTAACCATAATCTAGCGTTTACATAAAATAAAAATTTTTTTAAAAGAAGAAATATGGGTACCACATGAATTAATTGAAGTTAATAATTATGAATTTACAAATCCTTGCTTACAAAAAATCGAAGATGATATTTTTTGCATTTCATTTTGACTGGAGATGAAATAATTAATAGATTTGATAATTAATAGATTTGAACCATGCATTACACAAAAAACCTCTGATAACAGGCAACAAATAGCGTAAAGTGATTTTAAAAGTTGAAGCACTTAAATGATTCTTATTCATCAGATGGCGCTGCATCAGTTCACTGGTTTTTTTAGATAAGTGCAAAGCGCTCTTCAAGAATCCACGATGAAATCAAAAATTGGCTTGATAAGTGGATGGTATCCAAAAACAAACAATCTTTTTTTCAGCATTAATGTACTTTAATAAAATATTTAACCATTATTAATTATTGTATCTTTTTAAGCTTGGGCGTATGTATTTTAACGTGTTGCTGTGTAAGGTCTAAGAATTGAAGTGGTTGTTCGCGATCGCTGGATCCTGATTAAATGGTAATCGACTCTAGTTTTGTATAACCATGTTTTTATTGCTCTTAGTTCTTATGAGACACCAATTGCCAATTTTCTCCAATAATTTCTCTAATAATTTTCTCCAACTTAAAAAACTATTCATAAGTTTTCTTGGTTTCCTTTTCTTGATGTGATAAATTAACAGTATAAATAAATTTTAATATATTTATATATAATATATATATATATATATATATATATATATATATATATATATATATATATAAATAAATATGTAAATAGTATTTATTATATAGTATTTATATATATATAGTAATCATAAAAATAGTATTTAATATGTAGATATTTAAAATTTAAAAAAGCTATAGCATTAAATACATTTAATTTAAGATAAAAGAAATTTATTTAATAAACTTTATGCTTACATTATTATATAGAGAAGTTATTAAAATTCTAGAAGTGTGACACAAATTTACTTCATTTCAGAAATAAAATAATTTAGTTTTTTTATTCAAAAAGTCCACTTTCCTTGCCATATTCAGACACAATTCATTAAAATCTATGCAATTTACACTAGTCGAAAGGACGAAATGGCGAATAATTGAATGAAGTGTTGTTACAGTTCCAGAGGCGCTATGACTTAATTAATGACTTAATTAAATGTTTGCCTTAATTAGCAAATAAATTTGAATTACTTAATTTGTATAATTTTCAAAGTTCTTGCTTTGAAGAACCGAATATAATAATTTATATAATAGTTTTTTACTTTACCACTTAAATAGTGAGTTGTTAAAAAATACTATTTCAATTTGAATTATTTAACATATTTATAGCTTAAAGCATGGAAATAATATTTATGGAAATTGTTAAACAGCGCATAAAATTGCAGTGAGGCCTCAAAACCCACGCCGCTAAAGTCAAGACCTAAATGTCGTTGGAAAAATAAATAAAACATAAAATTGCTTATTTTAATAAATTCGTAAAATTACAGAAAACTTCTTGAAAAACTGGAGCAATGGTTGCAGTTGTGTATGAAGCTTACCAACCAGCATAAACCAACCATTTACAGACTTGCATAAAACCACAAAGGCCTGGGGAAAACTGAGGGCGAAGGCGCATTTGACAGTTGGAAAATATATAAAAATTTTACAAAATAAAAATAAAATTGCAAAAAAATTCACAATGTGAGAATATTACAAAAATGGCGTAAAATGGCTGAAGGAGCTTTTCTGTTTAACGTAAACGTACTTGATATTTGTTGTTTTTTTTTATAACTTCTTATGTCTTGTGGGTGGCAACAAATATTGCTACAAAACCAAAATATAAGGAAAGCGGATGTCAAAGTTTTATTTCCGTTTTAACATGTTTCACATTTTTTCTTATGAATATTAAACAATATATAAATTTGAAAAATTTCAAAAACTTTCATATGCGTATTTAACAACTTTAATATTTAAAAAAAAATTATTTTTAATGCACGCTTCTATTTTCATGCTTTTAATACCATATAAATATTGTATAATCCTTAAAGAACATTTATTTGGCAACTTTGTTTTCCTTTCACTAAGCGTCCTAAGCTATTACACAATTTTGTCGGGTTTCATGAACCTCCAGAATAAGTATTTTTTGTTCTGTATATAAACATTTTAATTTGATTGTGTGTAAAATGTTGTACTTTTATGTGCTAGTTACCTTTGACCTTTTTTGAGTCCCTTTTTTACTATTAATTTAGGATACACTAAAAGCTTTTCTGTATGTGACGATATGCCAAGTCCTTAGAGTGTTTTATAACACACTTTGAAAAGATTTTGTTTTTAACCTTTAAGGAAAATTTTTTTAATTGTTTTACGAAAGGTAAATTTTTATTCTTTTTTGTTTTTGTTTATTTTGAAATTCCCAAAGTGATTTGAAATCAGAAACCTAAACAGAAATGGAGATTACACTTTGTGTCTGAAATTAAATAGTTAATGAAAGAGCTTTGATCATTTAAATATACTTATAAGCCCAAGTCAAATACACTTTAATGTATATAATTTAACTAATTATGTATATAATATATTTATATAATAGCGAACATAAAGAAATACAACTCAACTTAGTTCAATAACATAAAGTGTGTTAAAAGCATATTATGACTTTCGAGCTAACAGATCAGTAGTGGACCGATAAATTTTTGTACTGAAAATTATTTATAAAATATTTTATGAATAATTTTGTTTTTTAAAAGAGCTAATCGGGCAATAGTTAAATAATACACTAAAAAAATTTTTTTTTAGTTTTTTCAAAGATTTTATTGTAACTAATATTTCAACTATAGTCTAGACCATATTCTCTAGTCATAATATATAATATTATATTATAATATAATATATATAATAATACATAATACATATATAAAATATAATTTTCATCCTATATCTTCAACAAAAATTGAAGAAGGAAATAAGAAATGTATTTAATGTATCCTCTTTACATAAAAAAAATAATATGTTCATGCATGAGCCCTGAACACATAACAAAAATTGTTGACCTGACTTTAACTGAAGTCACTTTACCTAACTTCAACTGAAGACGACATCTTCTGTTGGGGAACATTAAGAGTAAAAGATATATATTTCAGAGAATGCAAGTCCAATAATGGAATAGAGTGCCTAAAACAATTTTGCAAATTCAAAATTCGATCCAAACTTTACGAGCTGAGGGTCTATAAGGAGCGAAATGACTACAATTAGATTTGAAAACTATCTTAAATGTAAAATTGTGGAACCAAAGCGAGATGGGCAGCAGGAATATAAAATACATTCTTAGAGAGAACGTTACCGTGCTGAAATTAACGCAGTGAAAAGTTATTGTTTTTAATATCAAAACGCATAGACTAGAATGAATCAAAATCACGTACAAAAACCAATCTTTAACAAGAAGCAAAAGTCCTTCAAGAAAAGAGTTGATTTTCTACATCGAAAAAGAAACCGGTATAAACAGCGTGACAAACTGAACTATAAAAGCAAAGCAGAGAGATATTGGGAAGATCATTATAGAGAAATCTAAAATTCAAGCCGAGTTGTACTGCTAAATGATATTGTTCCACCCACACATTGTAATTGTGTAATTGTAAACTCTTATTTGAACACATTTTTAATCGATTTTTTATTACCTTACATTAAACATATTTATTTAGGTCAATTAAAAGGGAATCAAATTCTTCTTAATTTGGTAAGCACAAAACTACATTTCTTGTAGTTTGGCTGAGGCCCAAACCCAGTATCTATTTCATATTTGATTCTAATATTAGAGGCTTATTGCTTAGAGTCTTAAGCTTTTGAGTACCAGTCGAAGGTGTTGATGAATATATCTGTTTATACTCATATTTAACTTTTATGTTGGATATATTGTTGAATAAATTAAAGATTTTAGCGCCTATAAGTTTCTATCTTATTATTAGATTATATTAATCTGGGTAAATTTGTTTGGTGGTACAACTGATATTTTGGTGTCTCTTCTTGGAGCGTTGGGAAACAAGATTTACAGGATCAGACGGCATACTATTGTAAATTTAGTTTTACTAACGATTTGGAGACACTTGACAAAAAGAAACCTTAGGTACACGCCATCTAGTGAATGGCAAACAAAGTAAGAGTAGATGCATTATTTTTCTCCTCCTTCTCTGATCCAGAGTTACGACAGAAATCGATTAACGGAACAACTTACTAGACGACATGTATATCAGATATTTTTTTGTACATATATCACAAGTATACATTTATGTAAGTCAAGTCTGCGCATAAGAATATCTTTTTTGAAAACAAATAATAAAATGAAATACAGGTGCTATTTTTATGATTATCCATGGTTTTCGGTGATAATAGTAATTTGGTTTTAATAGATAAAAACGAAAAAAAAAAAAAATTGCTTTTATGTTGTATTAATGGCTTCTTTCATTTATGCTATCGCAACTCCTTTAACGTTTGTAAACTTACATTCTCAAAATAGATTCAAAAAAAAAAATAACAGCACATTTTACTTCTATGACAGACAGACAGATAGACCACAAATAATTGCAAGCATTTAACCATCCATCAAGGCACAGCTACTATGATCCAAAAACGTTTAATGTAACCATTCACTTTTTGTTTCATTCGTACACTTGCTAACATCAAGAGTTTTCGGTTTTTTTTGTTGTTCACTCCGATGATTTAACAGGATTCTGCAGTACTAGCAGTTAAAGAATTTTTGACTGCATGCAGATAATTCGAAAACTTAGGAAAAACTTAAAAGATAGTGGTAAGTAAAATTTGTAAAATCTTAGCAATTCATATTACTTACACAGCATTTAGACATAAATATTGCGCATATTTTTCATAGCACGACGCACTTGACGTTTGTTGTTGAGATCTATTTTTCCTGCATTTCCTTTGGCAATTATGGCATCAGCAACAAAAGGTATACGTTCTTCAGCGGTTAAATTTAGCCAGGCATCATAGGCAGCCCGTCTATACCGGTCCTTGTTGATATCAGTACAACCAACGGAAGCGTAATAGAAGTCCTTGAAATTTTCAAATGGTTTTTCACTTGGTGGATTTGCACCTGCTTCGGTACGTTTAAAAGCATCGTTTGCAAGAGGATATTTATACTTCTGTTCTATAATGATTTGGGTACAATTATCAGCGCGAGTAACTTTAGGTTCCAATGTGTATTCACAATTCATTGGACCACTCTTATTACGAATATTTTCCGAAAACTTTAAAGTTTTCGACTTATACCAGCCATCAAGTTCAAAGTGGATTATGCTTTGTACTTTCTTACCTTTCATAATGTTTTTGGAGTGATCTTAACCAAAATTTTGTAAAACTGTAATTTAGAATCTTACCAAAATGATTCGTTCTAAGGAGTTATTACTTCAGGATTTTTGGAACCTGTTTCTATTAATATTTTATATATTCTAATTTCGTATCCCAATAATTTTACATTTAAAATAAAAATATTTGAATTTGAATATTCAACTTTTGAAATGAAATATTAATTTATTCATATTTCAAAACCAACAAAGTAATTTTCAAGTGATTTAAGTAATGTAATATAAGAATTTAAAAGAATTTGCAATTTCAATAACACAAACCAATTGTGACGCTACCTTTGGGTGTTAACACGAGAACCTACCGACTCAAATTTAACAGGGTCCCATTTCTGACCCTTTGTCTCAATGTGGTTCAAAGACAATAATACCAATAGGTATTTCCATAATATACCAATTTGGCATGGAAATGTCTTATAACAAGAAAAGAACCGGCTACTATACTCAACAAATGGCAAGAGAAGATCAGGAGCAAACCATCGAAATGTGGAAACAAAGATGGAACAAGAGCACTATAGGAAGATGGACAGCTAGACTGATACCAAATATTATCACTTGGCTCAAACGGAAATCGTGAGAAATCGCAAATTATAATCTGCTTCAGATGCTGACCGGACATGGATACTTTTGTAAGTACCTATACCACAATGGAAAGGTGGATCTACCCGACTGCATTTATGGCGATAAAGACTGTGACGACGCAAAGCACACCTTCTTTTACTGTAATAGGTAGCTCACAAGTAGAGACGACATAATAGCATAGATTGGACCTTGGCTTGAAATGCCAACATAAAAGAGACCCTCCTCGAAGTAATGCGAAAGCGGTTCGGAGGGGGAATAAGCTTCGCCGAAGAGGAGGTGTTTTAGTACGTATACTACATATGAATGTTAGGGAGGACACACCATACCGATTTATCGGTTTGACGGTGCATAAAGCATTCTACCTTCTCACCACAAAAAAAAGAATATAAGAATATAAATGTCTTGTCGCCCAAACATTCACTTGATAAAAAATAAATTTAATTATATTTAATTTTTTCACTTCATCAGCTTTCTTCATAAAAATAGGAAACTTAATGAAAGTTTAATTTCATTCAATTTAATAGAAAATTTTTTAATAAGATTAAAGAATTTATTTTTGAAATATATACCTGTATTTGTAGAACCCTAGTAAATATAAGTGGAAAAAAGAATATGCAAATATTTTAAAGTTTTAATCAAGTATCTTTAACAAACATTTATAATCCCATCAATAATGAAAGTCATTAGTAAAAAATCCCCACTCAGAAACATACTTACAACTTTTGTTGTTATAAAAGCAGTTACTAAAAATTTCCCTCAAGCCTCTATTAAAATAGAGAGACCCCAGAAAGTATGCAATACTTATTATAACTACTATTATAAGTTATAACAAAAAAATTTCTGATAATTTGAATGCACAAAAACGATGCAAATGCGTAAATATTGGTAATCATAAAAGTTGGCCTACAAATATAAATTTAACAATAATGGCATACAAGCAAATTGCTTTTATACTAAAATATATATCTATATACAATAAATTGTGTTAAATAGTTTTCCTCCGTTGTATATTTGTTGTGCCATAGGCATTGGTAGAAGAGTAGTCTCACAGCTTTCATTTTAATTGGTTTCAATGCGGTTTATGTAAAATTGTTGTTATCCTTTTTTATTTTGCCGACCTATATAATTGCGTAAAATATTATTAATTGCTTATGCGGCTGATATAACAATTTTTCACTTTGAGTGGAAAATATTAATTGAAAAGTAAGGAAAATTTATGGTACACTTGTAAATATAGTACAATGCATTTTGCGGTATAGTTTTTGTTTTAAACAAATTAAAAACTTTAATTTACATTATAGAACAATAAAGCTATAATTAAGATGAAATTGATATATTGGTTTCAATTTTGTTATTTGTAATTTATACAACTTAACAGTTTTGCTGCGATACTAGTAGTATTTGCTGGTGTCGAGTCAATAAGAGTTTGGATTTGAATTCCTAGTTAAGAAGAAATATATTGAAAGAACAGATGATTTCTGGATCCTGACTGCTATTATTATTATTATTGATGTGATACTGCGATCGTCGGGACTATTTTCCCTTTCTGGGTTTACAGTAAATCTTTAAGCCCTGTAGCTTCGATAAACAGTAGTATGGCAGTTACTTTACAGAGTTTTATTGCCTTTTCAGACGCAGCACATTCTAAGAGCACTCTTCGCTGAATCTACAATTTGCATTCGTATATATGCCCAGTATCGTAAAGTGGTATTTTAGATTGCATTGTCCTGTTAAGAAAACTGTGATGATACAAGTTTTTCTTTCGATAAATCCATACAATCCTGATATCTTCTATTTTATAGGTACCAATAAGTGATTTGGATTGTGGTAATCCTGGTAGATTATCCCCAGTAATACTTTTTATTCCGACTGCTGTACTTGTACTAAAATCTATAAGCTTCATATATATATATATGTAATCATGTCATTTACATGTTATAAACTACACCAAATGACACTACTTTTTTTTTTTGTTTTTCAAGAGTTTTAGATTAATTTAAGTTTTAAAAGGAGTGATTACAATTTTTTATTTTAGACATACGAACTGTCGTGTCTTTAGTAAATTTGCTACTGATTAATATATTAACATTTTTGGCTGAGATGTCCAACTCCTAACTTCTCTCCTTTCTTATTAAAAAAAGTGGCTTGCCAAATATTTCTTAAAACGATTTTTTTAAACCAATGATTTTGAAATTCAAAGAAGAGAAAAGAAAACTTCTTTTTTTTTTGGCTCACATTGTTATAAGTGGGTACTATTGATATTTGTTAAGTTATTTTCAAGTAACTTATTTTAGAAATCAAAAACATAAAAGCAGTAATATACATATACGTAACATATAGTTTATCTAAATAAAGCTATATGCTGGAGTTCAAAATTCGTGTGCTAATATATAATATATACTATACAATCTACGATCTAGGTTTTTGTTAAATATTAATGTTATTATTTTTATAATATTTATTAGCTTTATTTCATATATCTCATAAGGACTCGAAATAAAAGACCTGATGTGTTGCAAACAGTTTTTAACTTTTGATGATTTTAACAAGCTTATTGCCCATTACTTTTAAGACAAATCACCACAAGAATCCTCAGATCGTTTATAGCTTCAATGGTAAAAAGTATCCAAAACTTTAGCACCTTATATTTAATTTTTACTGGTGCCAAAAATATTTGAAAAAGTTTAAAAGAAAGTTCGAATTTATATTGTAACCTTGATTGCAATATAATATAATTTTTTTATAAACACAAAAAAATGTCTGTACTAAAAACTGCGATAAATTCTGTGGTAAAAAAAATATCGAACCCAAAATTTTTAGTAACGGATTTTCTCAAATAAATACCACAAATTATAGCAATAAAGTAAAATTATTAACAATAGCGAATATTTAGTACAGAGCTAACTAAACAATAAATATTTATTCATATTTCTTTCTGTTTATATACTAGATGGATTGATTACTTGACTTCACAAGAAGTGGTAACGCCAGAACGAAAATAATTATATTTTGTATATTTGGAAAGTTTTAAACGACAGTCGTAAAGGTTTCGTGATAATTGATGAAACATGGATCCATTACTTCATATCTGAGGGAAAAGAAAAAGCCAGAGAATGGGTTAAATCCGGGATAGTGCTCTCAAACGACCACGAACTCAACAATCGGATGGATAGATTTTGGTTTCAGTCTTTTGGGATTCAAATAGAATAATTTTCATAGACTATTTGGAAAAAGGAAAACCAATAGTATCAGACTACTATTGCATATTATTAGATCGATTGAATGAGAAAATTAAGAGAAAACATTTGCGAAGAAAAACTTTTGCTTTTTGCAGGATAACGCACTTGCTCACAACTTAATGAAAACGATGACAAAATTAAATAAATGATAGTATAAATTACTTTCTTACCCACCGCATTCTCCAGATTTGGCTCCCAGTGACTATTTCCTTTTTGCAAACTTAAAAAGATTGCTCCAGGGAAAGAAATTTGCGTCAAATGATGGAGTGGAATGTGGAAACTGAGGTATATTTTGGAGGACTTGATAAATCATATTATTTAAAAAGTATCCAAATCTTGATCGTTGGACTTAGTGCGTTGAGCTCAAAGTGGACTATATTGAAGCTTAAAATATATTTTACCAAAAAAAAATGCCATTTTATTATTAGGCCGGTTATTTATCAATCCACCTAGTATGTTTATATATGCAATTTTAAACATTTCTCGAGTAATTTTAAACAAACTAATCCAACCTAATAAAATTACTAAAATACAATATTATCTTATATCTTTTGAGTTCGTTGATTTTATATGTACACAGATAAGTTATACGAGAAATATACGTAAAGTTCTTGGGATTTTTAATTCATTTAAGGGTAAAAGAAATATTATAAATAAAGAATAGTTAAGCTTTAAAGTTAATTTAGATACATACCTTGTGATCAAAAAAGAACTTTAAATTTTAATTTTTGAATTTCCGCGCATAACCAATCGGAAAATTTTTTTTATTTTCACGCTTTCAAACACTATTATACACATTCTGTCAAAGTTTAACGCATATCGTACGATTAGTTTTTGTTTGGCGTCTATACAAAAAGTCGAAAAATTTTCGTGTGGCGATTTTTATGGGTTCAAATGTGCTGAAACTTAAAAAATGTTAAAAAAGATCTTTGGTGATTTATGTGTTTCGCAACCACGAGTATACGAATGGTTTAAAATGTTCAAAGACGGTCGTATAAGCGTGGACCATGATGAGATCCCTGGCCGTCCAACAACTTCTATTACTGAAGAAAACATTGAATCGGCGAAGTAGATCGTGTTGGAAAATCGTGGTGAACCGATTAGAGAGATTGCATCTCTCTAATGGCATCTCATATGGATTGGCCGAAAACATTTTAACAGATGTTTTGGGTTTGAAACGCGTCGCTTCTCGGCTGGTGGCAAAAAGGCTGAATTTCATTCAAAAAAGTAGCAGTTTTTGGCCAAAAACTCCACCAATATCATCAACTAAGCACCGTACTCTCTAGAT